GATGTTACCTAGCCGGGTAATGAAAAGTTTGCAAGAAAACAGCCAAGCTCAGAGAACCCCAAGGACTCCACAAAACACATAAAGTACTGGAAAAAGTAAATACACCCAATGGGTCATACCATTCCCAGACCCAATGCCTAAGGGAAGAAGAAGGCCTTTTAAAACCTTCCAAAAGGCAGCCAGTTGGAGCCAGCCAGACCTTGGGGAGAATGCTGTTCCAAATGGTGTCATCCTTGCGCAGGGGCTATGCTAATCTTCTCTGTATCGTTCCAATTTTAGTATATATGCACCTGAAGCAAGCATGTTCCAAAGGGTGGGAGCAACAACGGAGAAGGCATGTCTCCTGGGTCCTACTAGATGGCATTAAGTGACAGGATCTGGAGCGTGCCACTGCTGTCAGATCTTATTGGACAGGCAGAAATAATTGGAGATAGTTGGTCCCGCAAGGGGCCTGGCCCTGTGCCATGAATGGTTTTATAGGTAAGAATCAGCATCTTGAATTGCACCTGGAAATAAAATGGTAACCAATGCAGATTGCAAAGCAGAGGTGTTATATGGGCATCCCGAGGTATGCTCAAACTAAACACGCCACTGCATTCTGGACCAGCTGAAGCTTCTGAATGGTCACCAAGGCCAGCCCCACATAAAGCACACTGCATTAATTCAATCATGAGGTGACGAAGGTGAGTGAGGGACCATGAGCAGGGCCTGCCAACTGACAAGTAGTAAAGTAAAGCTATGCAAAAGCCCTCTGAGCCACGGCTGCCACCTGCTCCTTGATCAAGAGCTGTAAATCTAGGAGGACTCTCAAATTGTGTGCTGAGTCTATTTGGTGCAGTTCTACCCCACCCAAAACTAAAGATGGGAAATCTCTGGACCCAGGGAGTCCAACAATCTACAGCCAATCTGCTTTAAGAGAGTTGAGTCAAATGGAGCATTATTCCATCTAACTCTGTCTCTAAAAGTCCCAAAGATAGTTTTCATTCTGATAGCCTAAGACCCTTTTAAGCAGAGCCCTACACTTGTTTATCCAGAAGCAAGGCTTATGCCTTAGCATTAAGCCTTAACTGAAGATTGCAGGAACTAAGGCTGGGATCTTAATTCACGTAAACAATATTCTCTGCTAATGAACTCTGTATTGTCCTCCTTACCAGTAAATTAATATTCTCAGTGTTGTTGGTGATCAGGACATTGAAGTTAGTCAATGCCAAGTATGAACTCCATGCCATCTTGTCTTTATATATTTCTAAATTTTATATCTAGTTTTCTTAAGTTTGTGTACAAACAGCAGCCTCGTAATCTGGAATGATGGAGCTTATCAGTTTTAGTACATCCTAAAAAGAAATTCCAGTAGGAACATTTAAAAACCCATATAACTGAAGATGTTTACCATAAAGGAGCCAAAACATAAAACCAGTGTTTATTGGGTATGCTCCATGAAAGAATGTCAATAAAACAAAATCTCATAAAACTAATAAGAGATCTAGATTATTAGGACAGTCAGCAAGTAAATACCCTAGGCTAAACTTCTCTCAGTAAATGAATATAACTGCATTGATAACCAGCATGAGACTTAGAGATGACACAGAGGCATTTTGTGAGTTGGGTAATCATATAAATTGGTTAAATAAAGTCAATGATAAAAAGGAATATAACTGCAAAAAACAGGATGTTTAGCCTAATGTTTCTGAATATAAAACATATTTAAGGCAACAACTTTTGGCTGGATTAATTGTTCGCCTTTTGTGAAGCTAGAAGAGTCAAATAAAACATAATACTAGCTAGGGAAAGCATTGATACATCATATCAACCCCAAATTAAACATGAACAAGCAGTGTGATGCAGCTGCTAGAAAGGCAAATGTTATTTTGGGCTACTTTAACAGAGTGCAGATAATGGGAAGGAATTGTTCCACTCTACTCTGCCCTGGTCAGAGTCCAACCATGCTTCAAAAATGACAATGACAAATTGAACCACGTTCAGAGGAGAGCTACTAATATGATAGAAAGTCTGGAAACCAATCATTATGAAGAACAGTTAAAAGATCTAGGTATGTTTAGGCTACAGAAAATACGACTGAGGTGCAGTATGATAACTAAAGGGTTGTCACATAGGAGTGGACATCTTCAATCTTAGGGACCACCTTATCCGCAGTGAGTCATGCCCATCCTGTGAGGTCAGCAAGAGGGGCTATATTTAAGAGAGTCATCTCCATGTGAAGGATGTGTGGAATAGAAGACAGACCTTTTCAGTGGTAGCCCAAACTTTATGGAACAGTCTTGCCCCTGGAGAAATTCTCTTAGCCTACAGAAAGCTTTTGATGCCACAGAGGCCTGCCAGGGAAGGAGTAAAGCTATCATTTATTATTGTTGATTTTGATTGTGTATTGGTTATATTTTAAGACTGCTGTTTGAGATTCTTGTGCCCTACCCAGAATTGAGATTAGGGTGGTCCAGAAATTTTGGAAATAAATAAAGTGGATAAATACTTCTTCCATCTTTTCACTTTCTCTGCAAAGAACTGGTAAAGAGGAAAAGATGGAGTGACTGAGCAAGTCTGTGGGGGGCCACGTTAGGCTGAGAGCCATCTATCTGGAAACACTCTGGCATCTGACTCAGCCAGAAAAGTATAAAAAGTTCCTTGCTCTTACTAAGCCTATAAACAAAGCAGATCAAACCAGAAGCTGAACAGCGAACACCAAGGGCAAGACCATCACGTGATTTAATCTTGCTTATTAACTGCAATCACAAAGCAAACTCTGAATTGCTGCTCTCTCTTCCTCTTCTCTTCCTCCTCAACTGCTCATCAGATGTGGATGGGAAAGAACAAAATAATAACAACCAAGTAGGTGCCCTGTCAAGGGAGAAGGAGGGAGAAGGTTCAAATAGTTTTCTTGAAAAGAAAAAAAGAGTAATCTCATGGCCAAACATGCAAAAAATGTGATACAAAGGCTCTACCCCACTAACACACCCATCAATGAATATCATTGGTATTATTTGCTAACTCAGGCATCTTCTTCTCATTACCATTAGCAACCCATTCCTTCCCACAGCAGCATATTTTGGCCAGGATCCTTGGAATTACTTTAGGCATACCCAAAGATTCAGCTGTATTGACTAGAATGTTTATTTCATTGAGAAGATTTATATGTCACCCACTCTTTCAATGACTCTAAGTGGTTTAAAAATGCAATAAGAACAATAAACCACTAAAATGTAGAGCTATAAAGTTAGAGTGTTAAAACACAAAACATTAAAAGGTTAATGTTCTACCCTCTCCTAAATTGTAAGAAGGCAGCTAGCTTCAACTCCACTGGCAATCTGTTCCATAGCACAGGCCCTCCATGGAAAAACAGGATAAACCACTACTTGACATGCATTGGTAGCAAGATCCAAGCAGGTGCACCACTGAGGCAGCCCTGGAAGTAGCCTGGGCCTATGCCACACATAGCTTTATATGGTTCATGAGCACCTTGACTTGGGCTCAGAAGGCAACTGGCGACCAGTGACCTCCCACATTTTCTCTGAAAGCTCAAGTTGGCATACTTAAGATTTCTGCCCTAATTTTATGCCTGCCACAGCCCTGTGAAGTAAGTAGAGAGAAAGTAATTGGCTCCAAGTCACCCAGCTAGCTCAAAATCCATAGTTTCTCCTTTCAGGGCATGTCTTCTGTTTCAAAAATGAAGAAATGGAGCCTTCCCTAGGCAGGAGCCCTCTTATCTATATGGAACCAACTTTCATAAACTTCACTCAGCAATTATCATGTTGGGAGGTCTACCCAACATATGCAGGGGGCTGGTTTGATTACACAAAAGTTGGCTGCTCTTTGAGATCTTTGAACTGCCTTCTCCCCAAGTTCTCAGCTAGGAGCCAACTTCTTGGCTCTGTTCCTCAAGAACCTTTAAACTGAACTTTCCAGTTCCACGTATGAAAACTTCCATATGCAAAGAATGTGTGCTAACCATCAGCCTCGCAATTGGAAATCATTTTGCAGTCTTTGGACCTCAGCCCATTACTTTCTCTTTGGTTACAGATTGTTCTATCAGCCTAAATCAGAATTCAGGCACAGGCGTTGAAGAAATTGCATCCAGGCATATGGGAATGATTGGAGAGATGGTATATAACTTTCTATATGGTTCCCTTCCTCTCTGTTATGACAGAGTGAAGAAAAATTGTAGCACAGATTTCTCTGAGGCAGGTTTTAATGAAATCCTGTTCCCTAGTAAGATACCTGCTGAACACACAAAAAGCTTCTTTAACGTTTTCTCTACAAACATCTGAAAAAGATGGTTTCACTTTAATCTGGAGCAGGGATGGGCATGCAGCACCCCCACCTCTTTTTATGGCTCCCAAGATCTTGCCACCAGAACAGCACCAAACAGCGATGCAATCGCCTGCCAATTTTCTAGGAAAAATAGTCCAGAATCCCTTCCCTTTCAGTAATATCATTCTTACATTCGTTTTTTACATTACAAATATATGCCTACAAAGTAACAATTATTGTCAATATATTGTCTTTAAACATATATATTAGCGTTCTTTCTGAAATGTCAGTGCTCTTCATATTTGTTTTTCACATCCTATTTTCCAAAATGGTGTCATATTCCAGCAAGATTATGGTCCTGTTTTTACAGATGAGGAGGTACGTTCTCATCTGAATTTATGCAGGCCAGGGCAGAATTATCTAACAGAATGTTATTTTCTTCCCTTTCCCAAGAAGTTCCAAAGATTAGCAAACCAGATAAAAGTGAAGTTAGCAAGATTGTCCCAAAGTTGCAAGTTTTTGTATGTGGATCGTGAACAGTTCGGTATATTTATATCCACACACCAGACACATTCTGAAATGTGGGAGATTTAGTACATTTTACAACACAGGACTGAGCTCTTCAGAGGTTTTTCTGTTAAGAACAAAGGACAGCTTATTGCTCTCTAAATGAGCTCGGAGAGCATATAACCCTCTTCTCCAACCTGGAAACCTTGAGATATATTGGGACTAGATCTCTCAACCAAGAATTTGGAAATTGCACTACCAACACATCATAGAACAGCAACTCAGATCTTGAGTTCATGCAGACTTTGGTAAAAGGATACTTTAACCATGAAGTGTTTGCTTGCCAAATAGAAATGCTCTTTCCTCTGCCAATTCTTCCATGCTTCTTTACCAATGTCACACTGCCAAAGGCTCTGGGAGTGGTTCAGCACTAGATAATTCTTACTTCCTTATTATAAACTACAGATGATATTTGAAAAATTAACATGAAAAATATTCAAATAATTGTAACATGTTCTGTTAGACAACCTTAA